TGCTTATTATACATATAACTAGAGCCCGGAATTATATTCTTTAAAAATAGCCAAAATAAGATGTTAATATTCTCTTAAAAAGTTGAAAATATTCTTCCAATATTCTTTAAAAATCATAATAAAATATGCCAAAAATATGCTTTTTGCTTGGAGCTAGCTATTTTTGTRTWGTAATTCCATTTTTTGTCACGCATTGTYATCTTAGATAAGTCACATATCTTATATACTACAGTGGATTGCAGCACATAACTACGTAGGGTATAACAATCGTATATACCAGGGATGGGCAACTCGAAGTAACTAGCGGGTCACTTTTTAGTACTTTAAGATCTAGCGGGCCGCAGTGCATAGGAAAAAGCAAAAAAAAAAGGTCCTTCAAATTCACTAACATTTATTTTTCATCTTTATTTATTTATATTTACAATTACCTATTATTTAATGTGACACTTGAGGATGAGGTTTTATATGAAGTWATTTGAAAATGTAGCGCGGGCCAAATAAAAAAGGTACRCAGGTTGCCAGTTGCCCATCCCTGGTATATAAGATGGACGATGGTATATAAATATATRGTATATTTTCAATATCATATCATTATCACTATTATCGAACATAATATAATTTATATTATTTACGTCATTGCAACCAAAAATATCGAACATCTATACAAATTAATTGATATATTCTCTAATATTCTTTATTACCTATACGAAATATTCTTTTATCTTGAAATATTCTCAAATATGCAAAAAAACTTTTGCCATTATTACACCTGTTTCATGATTCGTAAAGATTTCGAACCGGCGTCTGACTGCATAGACTCATAAAAAATATGCAAAAGAATATAATTCCGGGCTCTACCTATAACCTAACCTTACCTCTAAGGCTCTAACTTACTGTCGTAATTAATTAAAATACATTTTAGAATGCAATATACAACTATGTACACAAATAACATATAGTTTAAAATAAACCAACTATATAGGTATAGGACATAGGTATTTTATAATTAATAAATTATAATACGTATATGAGGTGCATAACGATCATCATCACACTGCAGATCACAACCTACACAGTGCTTGGCAATTTTCAAATCTGCCCATATTTTTGGTTACTTTTTTTATTCCAACTAAAATAATTAATGAATTATCTATTGTGCTTGATAATTAATTGTTTTCATTAATTAGGTACCCATCGCCGACAACAAGATGTGTCAGCTAGATGACTACAATTAGACATTTTATTAGACTCGACAGTTCTATACTGGAGCATTGTCGGCAATACATTTGTTAGTATAGTTAGTATGTTTTGTAAAATACTCAAATAATAATAAAAACAATAATACTCATGTTATTACTATTATTGAATATCGTTCGCATGCATATACAATTATACATTATATAATATGCGTTGATAAAGAAACAGCAGAAAACAATAAAATACATCTTCAAACGACGAGAAACAAAAAGATATGGATTTAAATGGTGGTGGTATACTGAGTGTTTGGCAGTAGAGATGAGGGGAGTATAGTCCAAGGTGGCCAGAAATAAAAATTTCGGGAGTGTCTRCCTAATAAAAAGTTTAACTACACTATAAGACCTGCATGTACCGTCGCCGCCACCACCGGAGTGTACGACACATRGTGAAAGACGGCTATAAAGGCGGTTTTTTATGGCCGACAGAGAATTCTGTTGAATAGGTGAAGAAACAATAAGAGCAAAAGAGAAGAAAATCTGAGACGTTATATAGGAGCAAAACAAAAAATTACCAATTATTCCGTCGTGTCGCCGGGTGTCGTTTTGGTGTCCGTGATTTTTTAATAAGTCGTAAAATATGATTATATTATTAAAAAAATAAAAATAAACTACATGGTAGAATAATATAAATGGTGGCTCCGTGTTTTTTTTGTCCACCGCCGCCGGTCGTTAAATGATATTTTAAGACCGATACTTTTTATTTTGGCTTTTTATATTTTTATTTTTTGACAGCAGTCTCACCAAAAATAAACGTGAACGTATTATTTTTTTTTTTTGATTTTCAATTATTATTATTATTTTTTTTTTTAGGCCCTGCAAAGCAATAACAACATCGATTCATCCAACCGGTTGTGGTGACGG